ATTCTTCTGTTTATTCATGTTGTTTTATTTTGAAGTTGCAAATCAGTGTTAGTATAACATTTTGTATTATTAATGATGAGGTGTATTAGTATATTATGGTTGAATCAGAATAAAATAAAATAATAGTTGTTTCTTTTTTTGATTATATGAAACTCCTTTAATTGTTTTAATTCTCATCTTCCTGGTTGATTTATGTTGTCTTTTTTATAAAAAATGAAAATTAATGGTTATATTATATTATTATTGTATTTATTGTGTTATGTATATTCTTGATGAATGAAATTATTTGATAAAATTAATGAACAGTTATAAAATAAAGTAAAATGAATGATATATGAAGAGTTTGATGATTTGTTCAATTCAATATTTTATTTTTATACTTTAAGAAATATTATTATTAATTAAATGAATATACTAGGGATATTTACAATCTCTACATTCAATAGTGATTAATGAAAGTCATAAGAACTAAATAAAAAAATGAGTATAGAGTGACAAGAAAATAATATAAGAGAAATAAAGATAAGATAAGTAAGAAAAGGAACAAAGAAAAATATAAAAAAATAATAGAGAAGATAGAAATAGAATAAACAAAAGAATTTAAATAATAAATGAATAAACGATAAACTAGAATAAAAATGATGAATAGATTAAGAGGTTCAATAAAGTTAATAAAGAAAGGAAATCAAAATAGTATGGAAATAAAAGAGTAAAAAGAGAGATATGTAAAGAGAGAATAAAAGAAATAAAAAGAAAAAAGTTTAATTCATTTCAATAACAATGATTCTTTTTGGAATAAAATGTTCAGGATGTTGTTTTCCACATAGAGCATTTGATAAAGAATTATAGTCATAAGAATGTTGATGACAATAGGAAATTGCTTTATTACTTTCTTTATAAACTCCAATATCATAGCCAGATTCATTGTCTTTTCCAAAACCAAATAGCCAATCACTTGATTGATTGCATAAATAAAATGCATCTTGTGGTTCTTTAATATCAAATTTCATCATTCCTCTTTTTCTTCCTTTGGACTCCAAAGAAAATACAAATGCATTTGGATCATTTATCCAATACCCAGTACCATTAATATAAGAGTTAATATATCCACCAAATCTATTTCCTTCTGTATCTGTTATTATAATCATTAAGTGCTCTCTATACATTATATTTTTATCAAACACAGATGTGTCTTTATCCCATTCATCTGTTTTAGAATCAAAAACAACATTTCCTGCTTTTTTTCTACTCCACATTTCAATTTGAGTCATTTGGTGGGATGGAAGAAAATTTTCTTCTACTCTTCTACTTTCCCATTCTTTTGCTTTTCTATCTAATTCTCCTTGATATCTATATTTTCTATGTGGATTTTCATTTATTAATTTATCAATTCTTTTTACTTCTGTTTCCATAACTTTTGAAATAATTTTGTCTACATGTTCTGAAAGTATTTGTCCATCATTAAATCGAATTTCTTCAAGTCTATGATAAATATTTATCATTGTTCTTAACATTGAAATTCCATCTTTTATTTGATCTCTAATGGTTTCATTTTTTCTTACTATTTCTTCTTTTCTATTATAAACACCTTCTATTCTTGAAATTCTATCTGAAATACTCTCATTTGCAATATCATTAATTACTTCTTCTTTTAATCCTTTAGGACTTATTTCATTATATTCTTTTTCACTCTTTATAATCTCTTCTTTCTGAACTTTCACCATATTAAATACATTATCCAGCTCTTTTAATATCGTAACTCGTTCATCTTGTTTGGTTGTCGTCATTCCTTTATTTTTATTCTTCTTTTTCAATTTAAGTTCCCTTTATCCCTCCCCTTTTTATTTCATCCTTTTCTCATATTTAAACACTGCCAAATTCAATTTTCTTTGTTATTTTCTTTGTGTCTATTATTTCAATGACACCAAACAAAATAACCAATTCATTCATTCAATCTATTTCTTTCTTTTTATCAAAAAACAAATTTATCCAAAAAAAAAACAATTTAATTTACTTATCAAACGTTTTGTACAAAAATGTTTATTCGGATTTTCCAGAAAAATATGGATTGGATAAATTAAAATTAATTAACTTATTTTACTTTTAACTTACACCCTATTGGTTGGTGTTTTGTTTCCAGTTTGTTTAGGTTATTATTTGGTTTTGTATATTTCTTTTTATTTATTTGTTTTTTGTTATCTGTTTATTCTGTTACTTATTCATTAATGTTAATTAAATTTTGATATCAAAATCTTTATTGTTTGGTTCAATTTTTAGTGTCTTTTTTGAATTAAATAAATGTTATTGAAAAGAATTAATTCAAAGTGATTTTTAAAGAACAGTAGTTTGTAAGATATTCGTTCAGAATTAATTCATACAATATTGATTCTATTTGTTTGATTTTCTTCATTTGTTTCTTCCTCTTTTTATTATTTCTTAA